CCCCAGAGCTCCTGGGTTTGCTGGAATTTGGAGCTGGGATCTCCAGGAATCCAGGGAGAAACTCAGCAATGAGGGAGGCCCTTGGCACACCTTGGGGCAGGGCTATGGATCCCTGGAATCAGGGAATCCTGGAGTCTTAAAGGTTGGAAAAGGCCTCGAGGCCCAACCATCACCATCCTGTGATATCCTTGAGCTGCATCCACAGATTCCCAAACAATTCCAGGGTTTTGGGGACCATTCCCGATGTTTACAGCCCCCTCCATGACTTTTTTTTACCAATATCAGATCTAAATAAAAGATGGAAGAGCCTCTGGCCCGTGAGACCCGGCCTTGACTGCAGAGCTTTGGAAATATCCAGGTTTGGGATGGGATTTTGAGAGCGGGCCGAGCTGGAGCCATCCCTGGGGATTTTCCATGGATTCCCAAACAATTCCAGGGATTTGGGGCTCCCCAATGCCCATTCCCAATGTTTACAGCCCTCTCCATGACTTTTTTTTACCAATATCAGATCTAAATAAAAGATGGAAGAGCCTCTTGCCCATGACACCCAGCCTCGACTGCAGAGCTTTGGAAATATCCGTGTTTGGGATGGGATTTTGGGAGCTGGCCGAGCTGGAGCCATCCCTGGGGATTTTCCCTGCTCTGCTGCTGTTGGGAATGATTTCAGCTGGCACTGGAGAAGCAGAGCTCAGCAGGGCTGGGACGGGAGCGGGACAGAGATCAGGACACAAAAACTTCCCCCACAATTTCCCCAAACCCCTTCCTGGCCCTGGGCTTGTTTGGAGGGGGATTTTGGCGGCCGCATGACCCCTGCTAATTAATTTCAGCTGATTAGAGCTGGAAACTCCGCGGGGACAAAAGAGGCCACGGGAGGATGCTCGGGGCGGGAGGCTGCGCTGTAATTTGTTCCCCATTATGGGCGGCCAAAAAGAAAAAAAAAGGAAAAAAAAGAAAAAAAAAAGAAAAAAAGAAAAAAGAAAAGCTGCTCGCGAGCTGCCAGCCCGTAATGTCTTCATTTGCGGCGCAGCGCTCCCTGTGCCACATCCCGGGGTGATGGACGGGATCAAGGCCGGGCAGTCCCGGGGGATTAGAGCCCGTCCCCGCGCAAACAGCGCTGCAGAGCCGGGAGCCGCAGCTGGGCCCGACAATGGGCGAGCGAACAGCGCCGGGAGGGGCCGGGGCGGCCGCGCGAACCCGCTCGGCCCCGGCGCCTTTTGTGAGCCCCTTCCCCCGCGGGCCGCGAGGCTTTTCAGCGGCGCTCCCAGATTTGGAGCGGGCTGGATGCAATAAAACGGGTTTGGGATCAAAGGGACGAGCGGGGACGGCCACCGGCGTTTGTCCCCTGCCCTGTCCCCTCCTCGTGTCCCCAGCCCCGGTACGGGCACGAATAACCCGGCTCACACCACCAGAACTCAAAGCTTTTAAGCTGTTTGTATTTAAAAACATGTGTGAACGCGAGGGGTTTTTATCTTTTTTTTTAAGGGATCAAGATTAAATATATAGGCCATGCCCAGAGAGGGACTTTGCGCACAAAGCCCTAAGAAGGAAAATCCCAGAGGTTGTTTAAAGGCTCTCACATCCCAGCCCAAGCTGGAAAACGCGAATTACCCCGAGCTGGGGCAGCCAGCAGGGGGAATTGCAGGAGGGGAGGGTGAAATAAATGCAATTCCAGCTGCGGGATCGGAGCTGCCAGCCCGGATCTGCCGCTCCTGGCATTTCCTTGGCATCCCCCGCGGACCTCGCACGGGGGATGAAATCGATGGAAAAGAGATGGAAAATGTGGGCTGGGCTGCAGAAAAGCGGCTTAGAGGGTTGGAAAAGCCTCGGGGAGGGGAGGCTGCGCTCAGCAGCGCTCCCCGCCCTGCCATCCCTGATATCCCCACAATTCTGGCATTCGGGATCCTCTCCCAGAGTGCCAACAGGGAAATTTCCGGGCTCCTTTCGGAGTTTTCCAGCTGCAGGGGTGGGAGTTGGGCAGGCACAGCTGGGCACAGCTGGGAGGGTGGCACGGGGGGGTTTGTGTCCCCATCCTCTCCCCTTGGTGCGGCATCAATCGTCACTAAAAGGGTGAAAAATCCCGTGGGATGGGAAATGACCCTGGGCACATCCAGATGTGGGTTTAGGTGGGGATAAAACAACAAAAAAACCCCAAACCAAAACCAAAACAACCCCAATCCCAAATGCCAGAGGGCAGAATTCCAGCTCCATCCGAACTGGAGGAAATGGGGATTTTCCCCGGGGCTTGGATCCTGGCAGGGGGGGGAGGTGGAGGAGCGGCCTGGGGCGATGCCGGGGCTCGGAGCCCCGGCAATGATCCCGAGTTTTCCCTGGATTTCCCTGCGGAGAGCAGCGCAGCCAGCAAGGGCTGCTCCCAGCCTGGGAATTGCATCACTGCGTGTGGGTTCTGCTGAAACCCTCCTGTCGTGACTCTTTTTCTTTTTTTTTTTTTCAGTGTAATTATGTAATTAATGCGTTCAGAGCGAGCTGCAGAAGGAGGGACACATTTTTTTTTTTTTTATTATTATTGTTATTATTATCATGACTTATTTCCTCCCAGGGTTTTTACAGCCTCCCTTATTTTCAGGGAGATCGCACAAGGGGCTGTTGTTGTGCAGTTTATTGCTCTCAGAAGGAAGCTGAGCCCCGAACCTTTGCAATGACACTCAAAAAGCCCTTTAATAACATTTATTCCTCTGCAGGGACACAACCTGCACCCTTCCTGCAGAGGAATGGGCTCCACTTTGCTGCCGCTTGGACTCCTCCAGAAAAACAACACCTCCCACACAGCAAAAATCATAATTCAGCCCGGAATCGCTGTTCCTGCGGTCACGTGTGCCTGGGGAGAGAGGAAAAGGCTCCTGAGAGGAATGAATTCTGCTGGAGCCTTTGATGTCTGCGGAGGATGGAGCCTGGGTGCTCCCGACATGTGGCACAGCACCTGGAATGCTCCGAGATGAAAGGGCCGGGATGGATCAGCCCAGAACGGGAACGCTTCCAAGGGCTGCTCTTTCCCTTTTTCCTATCTATTGTCTTCTTTTTGTTTTCTTCCTTTTCGTTTTTCCATCTTTTCCATCTTTTCCATCCCTTCCTTCCTTCCTTCCTTCCTTCCTTCCTTCCTTCCTTCCTTCCTTCCTTCCTTCCTTCCTTCCTTCCTCCCTTCCCAAACCTTCCCTTCCCTTTCCCCTTTTCCATTCCCTTCCCTTCCCTTCCCTTCCCTCTGGGGATGATTCCCTGCAGTGAATTCAGGGCAGAGCAGGATTCAGGCCAACAGTGAGGATTAAATTCCACGCATGGTTCCCTTCTCCTCCCAAAGAATTCCCACAAACTCAGCTGGGTTGCCCTCGGGTTTTCAACTGCAAAAACCGGACGTGTTTTCCTGAGAGTCTCCACACAGAAAAAATCTCATTTTTACCCCTCAGAATGGGTGAGAAAGGGGGGGAAAGGAGCAGAGCTTTTCCAGGCCAGGAACCCAACTCTGAGCCATCAGCCTGTGCGGAGCTAATTCCCAATTTCTGATTAAAAGATTATTATTATTATTAAAAGATTAAAGCCTGCAGCAGCGCGATTCACACCAGGGCTGCATTCCCAGCAAGGCCTCAGACAGGCAGGGCTTGAAATGAGCCAGAGCTCGGGGCTGCTCCGTGAGGGGGGTCCCACTTAAAAGGGATTTTTTGGGACACGGGAACAGGACTGAGCCCAGTGGGCACCGTGACCCCTCAGCCACGGCACAAACCCAGAGCATTTGGGGTTTGCCAAATTCTTGCAGATTTTGGGCCTTCCCAAAGCCCCGCAGCTTTTGGTGTTTCCCAAATTCCCGCAGATTCGGGGGTTTCCCACAGCCCCTCAGCTTTTGGGGTTTCATGAAGCCCCACAGCTTTTGGGGTTTCCCAAATTCCTGCAGATTTGCTCCGGGAGCGGGGAGAACAGGGGGTAAATAAGGGCGAGGGGGGGGCAGAACGGGGGTCCCTCACGAGTTCGGGGGGTCCTGACCCTCCCTGACCGGTTAAACCGGGGGGTCCCGGGGCACCACCGGGGGTGCGGGAAGGCGCTGGGGGTTGCTGATCCCGCTTCCTCCCGCTCCGCCACCGCCGGGATGGGCTCGCCGGGGGCCGGGGGAGCGGGGGGAAGCGGGAAGCGGGCCGGGAGGCAGCGCAGGAAGGCGGCAGCCCCGCGGGCGGTGCGGCGGGGCGGCTGCCGCTGGCGGGCGGCGGCGGGGCGGGGTTTTCCCATGGAGCCGGGAGCCGGGAGCGCTCCGGCACGTGCTCCGCCGGGAGAACGGGGGGGCGGTGGAGAGGAGCGGCGGAGATGGGGATGGGAATGGGGATGGGAACGAACGGGGGGAGCGCGCTGGGAACGGGGGGAACCGGGGGAACCGTGAGGGAGAGCGCGAGCCGCGGCCGTGATTGACAGCGGCGCCCGCGCCAGCCAATGGGAGCGCAGAGCGCCCGCGCGGCCGCCCGCACCCCCCGCCCATTGGCCGCCCGCCGGCCGCGGCCTCGCGTGCCGCGCCACCCGCCGCCGCCGCCGCCGCCCCCGGGCCCGGTGTCACAGGGCGGGCAGGGCAGGGCGGGCGGCGAGCGGGGCCAGCGGGGCGGCGGTGCCGGGGCCAGCCCCGCCCGCGCTCTGCCCTCACACTCCACCCCCCCTCCCTGCCCTCACACACACACCGCGCTCCCCCCGCCTCTCTCACCCCACGTGGCCCTGCTAGGGGAGGGGGCGTTCCCCGCGCGCGTGACGGGGCGGGGCGGGGCTTCCCGCCCCGCGCGGGGCATGGGGGGGGTGGAAGGGAGACGGGGGGGGTGAGGAGCGGACCAATGGGAGCGCGGGACGAGCGGGCGCCGGGCGCGGGCCGGGCGCTGATTGGCCGCGCGCGAGTGTGGGAACGGCGGCGGCGGCGGGTTCACACGAATGGGCGCCGCCGCCGCCGCCGCCGCTGCCGCCGCCGGGCTATAAAAGGGCGCGGGCGAGGGGCGGGGGGCGCCGCCGCCTCACGCCCCGCGCCCGCCGCACGCGCCCCGCGCCCGCCGCCGCACGCGCTCGCTTCGCCCCCTCCGGTTTCTCTTTTTCTCCCCGCCTACCGTCCCCCGGTTCGTGCCGCTCTCCCCGCCGCTCGCTTCCATCCCGTTCGCTGCACCGCACGCCTCAGCCATGCCCGCCGACACGGGCATGGAGAAACCGACCGCCTCGCCCATCGCCGGCGCGCCCGCCAGCGCCAGCCACACGCCGGACAAGCCGCGGAGCGCCAGCGAGCACCGGAAGGTAAATGCAGGAGGAGGAGGAGGGTGCCGGTCGGGGCGCAGCAGCGGTGGCGGCGGAGCTGGATGGCGGCAAGCCCGCGGCCGTGCTGAGGTCGGTGATGGTCGGGGCTGGCGGCCGGGGCGGCGCGGGGGTCCCGGGGTGTGCGGGGCGCGCTGACCGGCTCCGCTCTGCCCGCAGTCCTCCAAGCCCATCATGGAGAAGCGGCGCCGGGCGCGGATCAATGAAAGCCTGGGGCAGCTCAAGACGCTCATCCTGGACGCGCTCAAGAAGGACGTAAGTGGGGCTGGGGGACACCGGGGGGACACCGGGAGCGTGTCCGGGCGCGGGCAGCCCTGAGCGAGCCGCTCTTGTCCCGCAGAGCTCGCGGCACTCCAAGCTGGAGAAGGCGGACATCCTGGAGATGACCGTCAAGCACCTGCGGAACCTGCAGCGGGCGCAGATGACCGGTGAGTGCCGGGCATGGCGACAGGGCACCGGGCATGGCGACAGGGCAGCGGGATCCCGACCGGCACCGGGATCGGGATCTGCACCGGGAGCTGAGGGCAAGGGAGCGGGGGATGGTGATCAGGAACCGGGGACAGAGAACGGGAACGGGGATTCGGACAGAAGGCAGGGCACCGGGAACCGGGCTCTGCACCAGGGTTGGGGATTTGAGAATGGGAGAACGGGAGCTGGCGACAGGAGACCGGGACGGGGCTTCTTACAGGGAACCGGGCTCCGGACCCGGGATTGGGGACAGGGGACAGGGAACCGGGGTTGGGGACAGGGAACCGGGGTCTAGACCAGGGGTTAGGGACAGGGGACCGGGCTGGACACCCGGGTTTAGGAGCAGAGGACCGGGAACTGGGCTGCACACCGGTGTTAAGGTCAGAGAGCCGGGCGTTGGGTGCTCCGGACCTGCCGCTCACCTGCCGCCCCCTCCTTTCCTTTCCCCCGCTCCCAGCCGCGCTCAGCGCCGACCCCACCGTCCTCGGCAAGTACCGGGCGGGCTTCAACGAGTGCATGAACGAGGTGACCCGGTTCCTGTCCACCTGCGAAGGGGTCAACGCGGACGTGCGCACGCGGCTGCTGAGCCACCTCTCGGCGTGCCTGGGCCAGATCGTGGCCATGAACTACCCCCCTCCTCCTCCGCCGCCGCCGCCGCCCGCCCAGCCCGCACATCTGGCGCAGCAGCCGCTGCACGTCCAGCTGCCGCCGGGCGCCGCGCCCGTGCCCGTGCCCTGCAAGCTGAACCCCGCCGAGGCGCTGTCCCCCAAGGTCTACGGCGGCTTCCAGCTCGTCCCGGCCACTGACGGCCAGTTCGCCTTCCTCATCCCCAGCCCGGCCTTCCCGCCCGGCTCCGGACCGGTTATTCCGCTCTACGCCAACGCCAACGCGCCGGTGGCGGCGGGCGGCGGCTCGGGCAGCGCGGCCGCCACCCCCTCGGCGTCGCCGGTGCAAGGCTTGACATCATTTGGGGGCAGCATCGCGCCGGCGTCGCAGGCCGGGAGTCCCGTGGGAGAGCGCAGCGAATCCGTCTGGAGACCCTGGTGACTTCCTGCGAGTCTCCAAAAACAACAGAAAAACGACCGCGAACTCTCGTCGGCTCCGTTCTATGGAGCCCCTGCTATGTCTTGGGGTTTTTTAAAGCAGATTTAAAGCAGAGAGGAAGAAAAGGACCTCGCTATGAACGTGCTATTTATTATTTTCAGAGGTTGGGATCTCGACTTGTATTTTTACTCCTTTAAAATGCCTTTATTTGAGATACTTTTTTTAAAGAAACGAACAAAAGAAAAAAATAAACGAGAAATAGTTTTGTAACGAATATTGAAAAAGTTATAATGCCAAAGTTGTTTGTATCCCGTCGGTCTGTGGGTGTGTGCGTGCCTGTGTTGAAGACTTCCAAAAACGAAAAGAGAAAAAAAAAATGCAGGTGTTTCAATAAAGGAACTCTTTGAAATAGAATTTTTTTTTTCCCACCATTTCATTTTGTTTGAGAGTGGGCAAGGACGAGCTCAAAAAATTTGAATAGGACTGGACTTTATGGCTTTGTTTAAGGATAATTGGAAGGGATTTGGGTAAGAAATTGGGGGAGAAGTGATGGGGCTGAGGTGGGGGTGTTAAATATCCCCTGAGTTTTGCAGTCAAGAAGGATTCCTGAAAACCCCGCTGCTGGAAGCGGAGCAAACACCTCGATCCCGCTACCTGCTTCCCAAATCCTGCTGCTTTCCCACCTCGATCCCGCTACCTGCTCCCCAAATCCCGCGGCTTTCCCACCTCCGGGCCGCACAGAAGTTACTCGGGGCGCACAAAAGCGGCCCGAGAGCCCGTCCCCATTGTCGGCAGGGTAATTAGGGGTACAAAGGGTCTCATCGAGTATGCAGCGGGCTCTTTGGCAGCTCGGCAGCCCCATTGAGGCGCCTGGGAACCCGGAGCCGAGGGTTAATGTGCGCCTTTTTCTTTCCGCGGCGCTCTCATTGACAGGGCCAGATAGACTCTGATACTCAATGCTGTTGTAAATTCAATTGCCTGGCCTCACAATGCCCACCTCATAAAAGAGAATAACTCGGGGTTGTGGCTTTTTCTTCGCCGCCGAGCGGGGGGACCGAGGAAAAGACAGTTTTGCCACCCATTCTGACTCACCCCCGGCACTTGAATCGTGGCCAAGTGGAAGCGATCGCGGCCTCTCGCACACGGAGAATGAGCCGCTTCCAATTGTCGCCAATTAAAAAGGGCCGCGCCGCGGAGAAAAGACCGTGGGGAGGGAACGCTCGGGGTGCCGGCCCGGCTGTGTGCGCCCTGCCCCGGGTCGGGGAGCTGGGGCTGCGCTGGAACCCGCGGCAGGAACGCCAGGAGCTGAGGGGGAGTGACAGAGGCGGCGTCCCCAGCTTTGGGGGCGCCAGAGGGGTCTCCCACCTTTGGGAGTGCCAGGGGCATCATCTCCCACCTTGCCCGGGGGTCCGTGGGATCCTGATTTCCCTGATCCCCCCTTTTCCAGGACCCTGGGGGTCTGTAGGATCCTGGTTTCCCGATCCTCCCTTCCTGGGACCCCGGGGATTGCCTGGGGGTCTGTGCGATCCTGATTTCCCCAATCCCCCCTTCTTGGGACACTGGGGGTCTGTGGGATCCTGATTCCCCTGATCCCCCCCTTTTCCGGGGGGTCTGTGGGGTCCTGATTTTCCCAATCCCCCTTCCCAGGACCCTGGGGATTGTCTGAGGGTCTGTGGGATCCTGATTTCCTGATCCCCCCTTCCTGGGGGTCTGTGGGATCCTGATTTCCTGATCCCCCCTTCCCAGGGGTCTGCGGGATCCTGATTTCCCCCCTTTCCAGGACCCCGGGCATTGTCCAGGTGGGTGGGCAGCACCAGCAGCGTTTCCCAGCTCACAGAACGAGCTGGGATTTGCAGAGCATCCAGCGACACAAACCCAGGCATTTTAAATTTTTTTTTAATTTTTTTAAATTTTTTTTTTTTTTAAGAACAGAAATGCAATTCCATCCTTCAAGGTCTGCTCCCATTAACAGCCAGGCTTGCGGCTTCTGTAAGAACAGGGCCCGTGGCTGTGTGCGCTGGGGGCATAAAAAAGCAGATTATCGGCTCCTGGAGGCTTTTTACAGCTTCCTGATGGCTCAGGGCGGCTCGATAAAGGAGCAGGCGCTGCTCGGAGCCTGGTACCGATCCAGGCCGGCGATTCCTGCGCGCCGATCGATCGGTCTGAGAGCCTCCATCAGCCGGGGATCCATCCCAGCCAGGAGGTTCCCAGGAGGTTTCGTTATGCAATCGCAGACATAAAATCGCGTTACGGCAATTCTCCTCCATCCCCCACAGCTCTGCCCCTCCTCTCGCGTCTGAGGGAGGCTCTGAGGAGCAGATGAAAGCCTGGCTGTCGCCTGCCTGCAACCAAATCCCTCCCCGGGGCATCGCCGCGCCCGGCCCGGCTCCCGCCGCGATCCGCAAAGCTCCCTTTATGGCCGGGAGGGCCGAGGAGCGCGGGCAGAGCGAATCCCGCTGCTCCCGAGTGGGTTCGGGGCAAATCCCGGGTTTGGAGCAATCCCCGGGTGGGTCTGGGGCAAATCCCGGGTTTGGAGCAAATCTCGCTGCTCCCGAGTGGGTTCGGGGCAAATCCCGGGTCTGGGGCAAATCCCGCTGCTCCCGAGTGGGTTTGGAGGCTTCCAAATTTGCTTTTACCCCTTTAAAGGCGCAGGGGAAGAGCCAAGTGCGCGGTGCCCAGAGGTGAAAGTCCGGAGAGATGCCATAAAGGCAGCCCGGAATTCCCGGGATCCGTGGAACGATCGGGCTGTGCTGGGGGAAGGAAATGTTCCCCCAAGCTCAGGACAAGGAAACAAAGCCCTTCCCAGCTCCTGGGCCTGCCCAGGCCATCAGGGAAAAGGAAAAACACCTGGAAAATCGAGATTCTGGATGAGACTTTTTCCCTTCCCAGCTCCTGGGCCTGCCCAGGTCACAGGGAAAAGGAAAAACCTCTGGAAAATTGAGGTTCTGGATGAGACTTTTAACCTTCCCAGGTCTCAGGGGTAAAGGGAAAGCACTGGAGGCTCTGGGTGAGACTTTCCTCCTTCCCATCTCCCAGGCCTGCCCAGGTCACCAGGGAAAAGAAAAAAAACCCTGGAAAATCCAGGTTCTGGATGAGACTTTTCCCAATTTCCCACATTTCGCAATTTCCCACATTTCCCACATTTCATTTCCCAATTTCCCACTTTTCCCTCGGGAGGTGGGGGGGGCTCACAGAGGGCTGGGGGTCCCTGGGGCTGTGTCCCCGATATTCCAAAGGCTGCTGAGGAGGGGATGGAGGCAGCCCCAGGGCGGTGACTCGGGCAGTCCCACGAGGATGAGGATGAGGATGAGGAGGAGGATGAGGATGAGGAGGAGGATGAGGATGAGGATGAGGAGGAGGAGGAGGATGAGGATGAGGAGGAGGAGGATGAGGAAGAGGAGGATGAGGAGGATGAGGATGAGGAGGAGCGGGAGCGCGGCTCAGCGCACGCGGGCCGCTTTGCTCGGGCTGTTAAGCTGATTAATTGCAATGAAGTTCCTCCCGAGCCTCGGCGCGCTCTTTGAGGTCAGGGTCAGCGCACTGAGACGCTTAATCAGATCTTCCCGTTTAGCCCCTCTTAGCCCTTTCTGGGGCTGGAATGCGGCCCTTTCAAACCGCGCTCCCGGCGCCAAATTCCTGCTCTATCTCCCTCTCCCGTTCCCGGGAGCAGCACATCCACCATCGGGAAATCAAACCCGGCCCGGCTCGGGTGAGGTTTGCACTGCCAGAGCCGGCAGGGAGGGAAATAAAGCATCAAACCGGCAGGTTGGTGCTGGGGTGTGGATTCTGTCATCCCGGGGCTCCTTTCCATCTGTGGAAAAGCAGAAACGGGGAGCAGCAGAGCTCCTCCCAGGGAAATGTTTGTAAACAGCCTGGTTTCCAGAGGAGGGGGAGAGTTGATATTTTGTTTGATATTTTATTTGCATTTTATTTGATATTTTATTTGATATTTTATTTGATATTTTATTTGATATTTTATTTCCAGCTCTGGCAGTGGAAACCTCGCCTGAGCAGCGCCAGCAGTGTTGGATTTGATTTCTGATGGTGGATATGCTGCTCCCATGGATGTGCTGCTCCCACGGACTCTGCCATTCCAGGGCTCTCTGTCATTCCATGGATGTGCTGCTCCCATGGATGTGCTGCTCCCACGGACTCTGCCATCCCAGGGCTCTTTTCCATCTGCTGTTTTTTCCTGTGGGAAAGCAGAAATGGGGAGCAGCTCCTCAGGATGGGAAAAGGTGAAATGGCCAAGAGGAGGGGGAGCTGGAGCTGCTCCACAGGACGGGAAAGGGTGCAATGGCCCTGAGGGAGCCCGGCCGGGCTGGTGGCACTGCCAAGGTGACCTGGGCACAGCCCCTCAGAGCCGGGCTGTTTGCAGGGCCTGAAGGGCCCTGGGGCAGCTGCCCAGCCTGGCAGAGCAGAGGCTGGAGGGACAAGGTCAGTGCAGGAACGAGGCACAGATGCATTCCAAGGGAGCTTCTTCCTTCTTTTCCAGTGATTTGCTTCCTTCTTTTCCATAGATTTTCTTCCTTTTTCCCCATTGCTTTTCCTCTTTCTTTCCCATCGCTTTTCTTCCTTATTTCCCATTGTTTTTCTTCCCTTCTTCCCATTGCTTTTCCTCTTTCTTTCCCATTGTTTTTCTTCCTTATTTCCCACTGTCTTTCCTCTTTCCCACCCCTGCTGAAACCCCTGGCAAAGCTCTGCTCTCAGATCCACGGAACCCTGGAATACCCTGAGCAGGATCAGCGATTTCCCTGCCATTCTCTGCATCCTGCCTCACATTCCAGGGGATGGAAATTCCCATTTTCCATGTGCTGCCCCTCCAGGACCCCTGGGAGCCAAACCCAGCCTGTGCCCTGTCAGATCCCATCTGCCAGGGTGTGCAGGAGGGCTGGGATGGGGCTGGTAATGAATGGAGGGATGCTGGAAGTGTCCCAGGGATGGGGCTGGTAATGAATGGATGGATGGATGCTGGAATTCTCCCCGCGCTGCCCTGTCAGGCCGGGCAGG